ATAATTTATTTAAAATAATTTTTAGTTTCAAAACAAGCTAAAACAAGCCTTCCTCCACCGATGTTAATTTCATCTCTGATAGTCATGTTTATCGGCAAGTTTAGGAGATAAAGGGTTGCTTAGTTCTGCAATTATTCTCCATATAGCACAGGAAAAAATAAGAGATTCCGATTTTTGAATATTTTAGGGTATTTAAAGAATACCCACAAAAATCCCAAATTTGGAAGAGTGAGACAAGTCCCAACCAGGGAACTTGGTTGGGAACTCCCTGGTTGGGACTTGTCTCACTTTGCCATATTTGGGATTTTTGTGGATATTCTTCAAATACCCTGACATATCCAATATTGGGAATCTCTTATTTTTTCCTGTGTAGCAGATGTTGTCTGTCGAGTTGTCTTCTTGCTGTTCTTGCTATGTTTCTAGTCAATAGTTCACTTATTTCTTTGTCTTGAAACGAGTGAAATGTTCCACCATTTTGTACTCACTACCAAAACAACTCAACCTCGTCCGGTATCCTCGTCCGTCCCCATGCAGGTCTTCTCAGTTAACTGTTCAGTTTTTAATTCTGGCAATTATGCTACACAATCAATGTCATTTTTTAACATATTGCAAAAAAAAATGTTTTCTACCACATTCCTCCAGAACCCTTTACAGTTTTATAACTATTGATAAGTGATTGTTTTTTTCATGGCTCAGGTAAAGAAGTGTGTTTCTTGCCTTTCAACATGCATTTTCCCAGACAAGACCACGTATCCCATCGATGAAACAATGCTGCATAATGGTCCACCACACACCTCTAACTTTGGTTATTCATATGCCAAACGTATGATTGATGTACAGAACAGGTGAGTGATGGGGTGGGAAGAAACTTCAGCGCAGCCTTAGTTTGGATTGATCTGCAACACTCTTTAGAACTCATAGTGGTAACCTTTGACTGAATTGATGACTTCCCCTTGGCTTCTTCTCATGTCCTGTACAAAACAATAGTGAAGATGAGTGCTCCAAGTGCAGCTTTTTTCAAAGTCACTTTTTTGCCAGACACAAAATCATTGATTGTCACAAACAAGAATGGTGCATTGATACATGAAAAGTTTGGAGAAGTCATGCTAGGCAGGCGTACTTACCTTCCTTTCCACTTCTTGTAATCTGGTATTTTTAATTTCTGAAGAAATGTATCTATATGTATAACTGCGTCGCTTTAGTAGAAGGTGGGTGCCTGGAATACCCAGGAGCTTCCACTGTGGCCAGCCAGCCCCTAGATAGAAAACTGCGCCCATGGCTGGCAAATCCCTGCAACCCAGCCATGAGCCCCCATTCCAGGCACCCGTCACACTAATGGAACAGTGGAAGGAAGAAAAATAGGGATGGGAGGGGGGGAAGACGCTTAATGAACCGCTCCAGAGACCACTGCACAAACGCTCGACGAAGAACTCGCAGGCCGTATACAAAGCTACCACAAACCATGTGAGCCTGCACTTATGGGATTGACCGCTGGATGCCCGCTAAGCTCGTGGGCCACTTAACCGCTAAGCCTGTGGACTGCTTGACCGCTTAACTTGTGGACCGCTAAACTTGTAGCCGGCTTAACTGCTAAGCTTGTGAACCGCTTGACCGCTAAGCTTGTGAACCGCTTGACCACTAAGCTTATGAACCGCTTGACCGCTAAGCTTGTGAACCGCTTGACCGCTAAGCTCGTGGTGGTTAACTTAGTTAAATTAGATTTAACCAAATTTAACCAACTGCCTCGCTTAAGTGGAAGGTGGGTACCTGGGATACCCAGGGGCTTCCACTGTGGCCAGCCAGCCCCTACATAGAAAACTGCCCTCATGGCTGGCAAATCCCCGCAACCCAGCCATGAGCCCCCATTCCAAGCCGAAGGGACTCTCCGAGCTGACGCAGCCAGATCGGAGAGGGAAAGAGGGGCTCAGGGCTGGGGGAAGCCCTGGCCACGAACTACCCAAGTCCCGAGGCACCCTAAAAGGACAACTAGGAAAAGAGAAAGATACGCAAGAAATACCTGTCAAGTGAGAAGGCTTGCTACCCCCACGATAGTACTGACGGGAGTGTGAATATAGATCTGATACGCATCGCTGGACCGTCTGCCAAGTGTCTTGATGAGGTGATCTGGTAAGCCACGAGGGGCTGCTGAAGTAGCAGCGCCAATGCGGAAGCTATGACCGGTGTAGCAACCAAGGTCCCCAGCAGCGGAGAAGATAGATTGAATATTGGATGTCAGCCCTTGGCGATGTAGAGGGGTGCCATCAGAGAGAAGAAAGAGTGGGCCAGGAGTTGAGCCACGGACGTGTAGATACTGGGTAAGGGCGCGTACAGGGCAGAGATCACGTTTACCAGCACCAATGTAAATATGGCAACCTTGGCGAAAGGGGCCCGTCTTAGAGCACTTGATATGAATCCTGAAGCTGCTTGGATTGACTAGGGAATCTGCTTGGACATCACTGACATCAAGGTGGATGTCAGGATTGAAGGGGGAGTTGACAGTGAACTCACAAGCGCGTAAGAAACCAAAACCCCGAGACAGCAGGCGACCCAAAGCATGTATGGTTGTAGTCAGAGAAGTTCAAGGACTGGAAGATAATGTGCATCAGCTCGATTGTGATGCATTGGCGCTGACGCCTATTTGAGCCTGGGTGACGTTTGATAGCCCGAAACACACCCTGTAACCGAAGGCAACCATCCAGCGGAGAAGAATGACCCTCCTCAATGTGAAGGGACCGGATTGCTGAAAGGTAAACCTTTTATGGATGAATGGTGGAGAGTATCAGCAAGATGACAGCAGAAACAGATGAGCACGTCTTCACTGGCTGGAAGAGCTGATCCCGAAGGAGATAGGCTATTGTCCTAAGCACAGAAATCCAAGAAGCGGCGTTGGGCAGAAGCGTAAACTTTCCTAATAGAAGGGGCAAGACCCTGAGTGAAATAGAAGTGGCATTTATCTGACAGCGAAGTTCCAAGTCGGAGAGGAGCTGCTGCGATACCTGGGTTGGAATGGAGTCTGCATGAAGGGCTAGCCGGCGAAAGTGCTGAAACTTAAAGCGAGGCAGAGAGTCAGCAAAGGGGTTAGACTTCCCTCTAACTGGGGAGGCAGTGAATGAGAAGGAGTGACGAGCTGCCAACAGGGACAGATAGCGAACCAAGGACATGATGGTAGGGGATCTTGAAGTGCCAGACCGCAGAATGTCCACCACTGAGCGGTTATCTGATAGGAAGTTGACCCGTTTGGAGGCCCACTCGGGACCCCAGAGGTAAGCTGCCACGACGATAGGGAAAAGTTCCTTGTACTCGATAGACTGAGAGACCTGTGTTGGGAGCCATGCACCTGAAAACCAGTGACCCTGGAAGACTGCTCCGTAACCAAGAGCCCCAGAGGCATCTGAAGAAACCTCGCAGTCGGGGAGTGGAGCGCACTGGGGGTACTGAAGGAAGCTGGAACCATTCCAAGACTGGAAAAACTCTTGCCACCAGGCTAGGTCAAGAAAGAACTCTTGATTGAGACCAATCGGGTGGTCATCGCGGAGGAGAACGCAACTCTAACGCTGAAAAGTTACCAAGAGAACCAACGTCAACAGAAACAAAACTATTTACAGCTGAATTGGCTAGAGGTGGCCTAGCGACGGTGGTGAGCCCCCTTTGACTGAGAAGGGGAGCGGGACCGTTCTCTCCTTGCAGAGCGATGAGGGCAGTGGACGCGGGGGTGGTCCCCGTGGCACGATTCACAGAAGTGACGAAACCGGCAGCGACCAAAGGGCCAGCGACAGCGCCCATCGTTCCAAGAGTGGCAATACTGGCTAGACCAGGGATTGTCTGAAGACCCCAGAGGCTCTGTTAGTGACGACGCAGAGGACGTTGAGGAGCCTGAAGCAGCTGTGGATCTGGTGAAAACTGTAGAGGTCTGGGTGCATGCAAGACCAGTCGGTTGAACCTGAGGCTGCGCCTCTTTTTCTGAAGGCGATGTCACACTGGAGCCACGATTTGTCAGAAAAGCGCCTTGCTGGCTGAATAATGAGTAACTTGTACTGATTTAAATCTTTCCAGCGAGAGGGGAAGGTGGGCAAAGAATCGTAGAAAAGATTGTGAAGGCTTCTATCCAGGTGACGATGTCTGCAATTTCGATGACCCGTTTCTTAGACCCTGATACCACCAGTTTTCCCTCCAAAAACCGTTGGGGGTTCGATTTCTTGAGCTTGGATATTGTCCGGAAGTAGGTCAGCCAAGTCGACAAAAAGCCCTCCTGTAATTTTAGAAACAAGCTTATACGGGACTGGAGCATAGCCAGGACCCACCACAAATGCTTTGTTGAGGTTTGGAAACGTAGAGGACTCAGTTCCGGCCGCGCCACCACAAGAGCCCCCAGCCACTACGGGCAAGTTGGCGGAGGACGTGGCGGGGAGAGAAGAGACAACCGAGGGACCGCCAAATGAGCTGTAAGTTGAAATAAATGAGGTAGAGCCGGGGGTGCCGGAGCTGAAGGATGCCGGGGATTGCGTAGAAGTCGAAGGCGAGGAGAGAGGACCAGACGTCGCGGCCATGTTTGAGTTCCCGCCACTTGAATCTCGAAGGGAAGATAGCAACAGAGGAAGCGATTCCGCGAGAGTTCTTTGAATTGCCTGTGCTGACGCGTTGTTGTCCGGCAGAGAAACAGGTTGACTTGGCGGTGAAGCTAAGGTGTTAACTGTAGGAGCTGGGGTAGAACCGCTAGAAGAAGGTGAAGACGTGGTAACCGGAGAAGACATAGCTTACAAGCTGTTGTTCGTGGTTCGCATCCTGAACGAACGTGACGACACGCACGCTTTGAAAAATAACTGACAGAAAAAGGATAAAAGAAAAAGCACACTGCATGTAGGACTACTGCTCCAGAAATCCTTAATAAAGACGAAAGACGCTAAATGAACTGCTCCACAGACCACTGCACAAACGCTCGACGAAGAACTCGCAGATCCTCGCCGTGTACAAAGCTACCACAAACCATGTGAGCCTGCACTTATGGGATTGACCGCTGGATGCCCGCTAAGCTTGTGGACCGCTTGACCGCTTAACTTGTTGACCGCTAAACCTGTGGACGGCTTTACCGCAAAGCTTGTGAACCGCTTGACCGCTAAGCTCGTGGTGGTTAACTTAGTTAAATTACATTTAACCAAATAAGATAATATAAATGGCCTGTAGTATAAGATAAATGGAGAAAATAAATTAAATACAAAAAAAATACAAAAGTTGCTTGCTTGGCCAAAAAGCAACTTGTAATTAAAATTTGCTAGCCTGACAGGTCATTCCACTGGCCCCACTCTATTGAACAGCACTTTTGTGGTACCCTGCCTGTTAAAGATGGAACAGGAACCCTTTTAAGGAAGAGGGTAAAATAACCACGGGTCTTTCATGGTACAAAAATCAAGTACTGTGTGGATTCTCTGTGGCTCACTAGTGGTACATAAGGAGGTATTGATGCCTACTGGATCCATGCGTATTATTTTAACAATTAATGCCAACAAGAATTAACTAGTGATCAATATTTTGCAGGGCTTATCACCAACAGCATCCAGATGGATGTTTGTTTACTAGTGTTATTCCCACCAATGTGTATGGAAAGCATGACAACTTTAATTTGGAGGACTCCCATGTTCTTCCTGGATTGATGCATAAAGTATACCTAGCGCAAAGTGAGTTTGAAGTACCCATTTGCTTAGTTTCTGATTATTGAGACAAACACATGTTCATTTGACAATTGCAGCAAATGCTTTTGAATTACGATAAGATGAACTTAACTGCTGGATGGTCAGCTCAATAGGCCATTTGCACTAAGGTCGTGTGACATCGTTTTTATGAAAAGCGAAAGTTATATGATTTTGCCTTTGAAAAACAACTAGTGGGTCATATCTTAGACAAAATAATAGTGATTTGGTTTTTCAAACCTGCACCATTTTCTTAAAATGAGTAATTTTGTAGCTGGTCATGTGACCAAAATGTGATTTTTAATACTTATGAATTACCCCTTTCTGAACACAAATTTTGTACTTATACTTAATGTTTACAGCTCATCTGAGCGTAACTATCAAACGTTTAACAAGATATAAGCAAAAAGTAGTTTGGGCCGCCATGTTGGAGGGCAAGAGTGTGCTCTCCAACATGGCGGCCAATACAAACCATACTACTTTGTTGAAAAATCAAAGTGCCATAAAATAGCTCCCTAAAATGCGTTTCCTCTCAAATTTCGGGTGTAAGATAATTTTTATGTGCTCTGTGTACTTTTTGGCATCAGCAAGATTCCAACTCATTGTTTAAAGGAAGCATTGGTAACGTGACCTCTTAGTGCAAGTGGCCTATTGGTCTGCCGAGTGGGAGATTATGGGTTCAAACCCTGGTCGGACTTACTCTCACGGTCATAAAATAAGTGAGGAGAATGTACTGCCTTTGTTCTAGCATCTACAGGACGGAACTGCTCAAAAGTAAGTTACCAGTCATGTCTCTTTTCCTGTGTGATGCGAATCACGTTGCGCGCTATGCGATTCTCGCCGCGCGCTATGAGAATCACGTCAAAGACGGAAATACGGATCCTTCGCGAAGTGAATTATACACAACAGCCTAGAGGTCGCAGAGGTAAAATTTGTTCACATGTTAGTCATGGTAGAGCTTTCCCACTGATTCTTTAAATCACTCAAGAATTTTGGCCATGATACTTACACAGTTATAAGGCCATTGTGCACTACGTGAGTCGCATCCTGTTTACAGGAATCGTGACAGGATGGTAACTCTCTTTTTAGTGGTACTGTACAAAATGGCTAGACATTCTAGTCTTCTCTGATAAGAGTGATAAACTGTTGAGACAACTGGTCTCAGAGGTCTTTCATTGTTCCGATCCTTGTGGGACGTAAAAGAACCTACCCTGCTGTTTGTAAAGAGTAGGGGACAACTAGGCCCTGGTAGTTTAGTGGGGGTCAACATTGAAACAGTAAGTGTCTTACCGTGTATTGCATTGCTGTAGCAGGTCCACATCAGTCCTCAAGCTGCCTTTATTTATGAAACTAGTAATAACCAAAAGTTAGGGAGTGTGTGCGACAATGATCGAAGGTCCAAACGCTTTTGTTCCAATGCTGTGCTTCGCGTAAGTTTCACGTGACAGGTGGTCAAAACACGTGTGATCAGAGTACAAGGGGCAGAAGGTCGAGATGCGCGTGATCAAATTGCGTTTTGTGCATTTCATTTATTCTTAGTGAAGGTCCAAACAAATACTGGCTACATACATGCGTCGCATGTGTAATAACAACCTAGAGATTAGGATTGCGGGCTCCTCTTGTCGCCTGCAATAAAATTACTAATGAGGCCTGATAGCAGTATGTAAATTCAGTGCATGGTTGTTGCCTTTGTCAAGCTGTGATAACATTGCTTTTTTTGTTCAAAATAAAATTTTCTCTGCTCTTTGGTTTAGAGGAAGGCAAGCCTCTTGTAGTTTGGGGAACAGGCTCACCTCGCAGGCAGTTCATTTATTCAAAGGTATGATGCCTATGGTTAATAACTTACTTCATATATGTATCACGTAATATAGTATTATCGTAATAAACAGATCTAGTAAAGATCGCGAGAGACACAGAAAACTCAGAAAACACCAAACGCTCTGGTGCTCAACGTCTCTGATATTGGTCAATCGGTTTTTTAGGTCTACACTTACCCTTTCACGTTGCCTTTGCTAAATCTGCGTTATGTATCTACTGATGCCTTCTGCCGACTAACACAAAGTCCATTCTTAATTATTTATGTCACCACGTCTATATTATGGTAATAATTTATGTGAGCAGCATCTAGGTCCAGACAGCTTAGTTATTTGATAATCCAAGTATAGTTGGGATTTAAGTTGGAGAATGTCTGTCAGCATAACATTGCTGACTTACAACAGTAAAGTACTCTACAAATTCAAGGATATCACAAGATTACGAAAATTGATGGTTCTGCATTTTTTTTAAATTTAGGATGTTGCAAGATTGATGATTTGGGTTCTTAGAGAGTACAATGAAATTGACCCCATAATCCTGTCAGGTTGGTATAAAGATTCACTAAACTCAGTATTGCTTAGCTGCTCCTCATTTGCTTATAGTGCTCCTCACTGGTATTTATTTCCAGTCAAATCAAATGTCATCTTAAGTTTCCCTGAGATATTATATAGAATATGCACATTTCCCCAAAATAAGAAGGGAAATGGGAGTTACAATAATAAATGCTTCTTGAAAATCCTTAAAGTCTTTTCCACCTCCTTGTCTTTGCAAACAAATTTCAAAACTCAGAGCAACAATTTCATAACAAATAGAATATTTAAGTCGGATCTCTCAAACTTAATCAGTGACTTGAATTGAGGTTATGTAACATTTTGCGTTACTGATGAAGTTAGAGTGATGCCAACGAAAAACTTGATTTGTTTTGAAATTCTTGGTCCTAGTTTTGAAATTTGTTTGCTAAAATATGTCTTCCCCAGAAAAGATAAAAAAACCTTTCTGGTAACTCCTCTTCTTATTTCTGCTTGTAAAAATGCGCAAGGAAAGGCCATTTCGTATGACCTGTAGCTTTAATTGTATGATTTAATTGTGTCAAAGAGGTAATCTGTGGTAATGTTTCGCTGTTTGTAGTTAATGAAGAGGATCAGCTGTCTATCAAGGAGGCTGCAGAGTTGGTTGTGGAAGGAATGGGTTTCACAGGAGGGCTAGAAGTATCCTTATTATAAAATAAATGTTCCGTTAGCCCTATATGATCACTGTTGTCGCTGTTGTCACTGTTGTCACCGTTGTCACTGTTGTCGCTGTTGTCGCTGTTGTCACTGTTGTCACCGTTGTCACTGTTGTCACCGTTGTCACTGTTGTCACTGTTGTCACTGTTGTCGCTGTTGTTACTGTTGTCACTGTTGTTACCTTGTCACTGTTGTCACTGTTGTCACCGTTGTCACTGTTGTCACTATTGTCGCTGTTGTCACTGTTGTCCCCGTTGTCACTGTTGTCACTGTTGTCGCTGTTGTCACTGTTGTGGCTGTTGGCACTGTTTTTGCTGTTATCACTGTTGTCACTGTTGTCACTGTTGTCACCGTTTTTACTCTTGTCGCTGTTGTCACCGTTGTCGCTGTTGTCACTGTTGTCACTATTGTGACCGTTTTTACTGTTGTCACCGTTGTCGCTGTTGTCACCGTTGTCGCTGTTGTCACCGTTGTCACCATTGTCACTGTTGTCACCGTTGTCGCTGTTGTCACCGTTGTCACCGTTGTCACCATTGTCACTGTTGTCACCGTTGTCGCTGTTGTCACTGTTGTCACCGTTGTCACTGTTATCACTGTTGTCGCTGTTGTCACTGTTGTTGCTGTTTTCATCATTGTCACCGTTGTCACTGTTGTCACCGTTGTCACCATTGTCACTGTTGTCACCGTTGTCACCGTTGTCACTGTTATCACTGTTGTCACTGTTGTCACCGTTATCAGTGTTGTCACTGTTGTCGCTGTTGTTACCGTTGTCACTGTTGTCACCGTTGTCGCCGTTGTCACTGTTGTCACTGTATTCACCGTTGTCACCGTTGTCGCTGTTGTCACTGTTGTCATTTTTGTCACCGTTGTCACTGTTGTCACAAGATAAGGTAAAAGTGAAGAAGAGTTCCCCTAAAAGTCTGTAGGTCTACTGATGGCCCATAGCCTATTAACAGTTGTGCACCGGATAACAGGACAGGGTTTTCTTCTGAACCAGAAGCCTTTGCTTGCACCACAAAAAGCCTTCCACAGAGTCTACATGCATGTTATCAACAATTTATTAATAAATCAATCTTAATCTCTGTTTTGTTCTGAAAACAAAACGAAACGAACTTGGACATGAAAAAGGTCTCAGCAGGTCTTAAACAGGGTGGCAAATGAACATTTTGTTGTCTTAAACTGGGTCATGGTTTGAAGGCCTCGACAGGACACCTCTTTCCAAACTTGGCTGGATCATTATATGCTTCTGGGAAACTGCCCACCTACCCTTCCCCTGAGCCAGTATTTTTTTAGTGAGAAGTAAGTGTTAAAGTTGGCTTAGGGGAGGGGTAGGTGGGCAGTTTCTCAGAAATGTATAGATCACCCGATTCAGAATGTAAGGGCTCCACCTACTCAGCCCACCATAGTCATGGGCCTTAGTTGTAATCGAAAGGGATCATGAGATAAAACTGTGTTGTGTGTAGTAAGAAATGGGGACATGAAAAGTGAAGTAGTCCGTAACATAGATGTTAGTATGACACAACCAAGTCAGATGGCCAGTTGAAAAGGACGGCGAGTATTGCTAAATTAAAAAAGTACCGACCAGACTTCAAGTTCACGGATCCTAAGATTGGTAAGTCAGCAGGTTCTTTCTGTGTTGCCTGGTCGTTGGTCTCTGAATACAAGAACACTCTTCAAATTGTTATTAGTTTCCTCAAAGCAGGGTCAGCCAGACTTTTTTAGAATATAGAAAGGTGGGCATAAGATTCCTGATGTCATGAGATTCCTTGCAACTAGATTTAGATTGAGCTTTGTCACAGGCAGCCCAATAATTAGACTCTTGAACCTCGTGGCCTAAATTATTGTAATCCATGTCCTTAGTATTTTTCCTTTCTAGTTTTTATGTTGTACGTTATGTCCGCCTCTCCCTTTTATTGCGACATTCTCCATCTATATAATACTGTGATTGCTACATACGTTCAGTAACATCTGTAAACCTGAAGAAGGCTGGTATGGCTAGCCGAAATATTGTTATAAAAAAAATACACGTTGTTTTTAAATCAGCTTTGCAGTAGTCTTTGGACTTCTCGTTCTTGGTCCAATAATTAGACCTTTAGCAGTGTGTGGTTCCTCTGGTATCGCATCGCTGAGGGTGTGAAATTCCTTGGGGTATAAAATTCCTTGTGTCCTTCCCTTTTTCGGGATATAAGATTCACTCGCGTCATGTCACTCTCTGGAGTAAAAGATTCCTTGTCATTAAATTTCTTGTTTCATAACTGTGATAAATTCCTTGGAGCTCTTGTGGTATAATAGACTACGAGAAGTCCCCATTTTTCCTCAGGGATAGTAGAGTGAGCGAAACGCAAGCGCGTGTGAAAATCACCCCACGCGAGAAAGGCGAGACGCGGCGGGGAAAGATAAAAATTTCTCGCGTGGGGTGATTTTCACGCGCACTCGCGTTTCGTTCGCTCTACTAACCCTGAGGAAAAAAAGGGGACTACTCGTTGTCTAGTGGTATGACATTCCTTAGGGCTTTTACCTTGGAGTGAAATTGCTTGTCCCATGACATTCCTTTCGTGACCAGAATTCTTGGGATATGACGACATTCTTTAGGGTAAATATTCCTTGGGGTGTAAGATCCTTTATGCCTTGGGCTGTTACAATGTATGGTCCTTGTAGTATAAATGTTTTATTGGGTGAAAAGTTCCTTGTGTCACAACTTCATCCCCAGGGTCTTTCACTACCCTTCCCGCAAAGCGAGAAGGGGAGGTAGTAATTTGGGATATCGAAGTGTTTGCACTTTTTTTCCTGCAGAAGTGATAATGTTTCTGTTTTCTCGTCCTATTTTAGCTATCAAGGAAAGCTGCGAGTGGTTCCTGGTCAACTATGAAACTTGCCGAAAGTGATGAATTTAGAATTTTTGAACTGTTGTTTGTATACGAAAGAATCTGCCTTAGTCAAAAATATAATATTGGAACTAGGAATGTACTGTTTTAGTCCAATTTATTAGAATTATGTGCTTGTCATTAAAATGACTACAGCAAATAAAGACATCAAATGGTTAAATCGTTACTTACTCATTTTCTTTAAATTTGGAAATAAAAGTTTAAGCATACCTTGCATGTCAACAAGATCCAAAAGCATGGTCTACTGAAGTCCTTTTTACCTTGTTTTTATTCCAATAACAATGTTGTTCTCAATTTTGTGTTTGCTATTAGTATAGGTGATTTGTGGTGATATTTGCCATAAATACCACGAGTGATATTTCGAAATTGTTATACGTAATTTCACGAGCCGTTTAGGCGAGTGAAATTTGAGACAATTTTGAAATACCACGAGTGGTATTTATGCCAAATATCACGTACAAATTATGCTATCAATTGTTTATACTACTACCCTTAGAAGGTTTGTAATTTTCACATGTAGGTATTTCAAATTAAGCTGAAATACCACTGCTCTAAGCCAATCAAATTGCAGAAGTTTCCCATGTAGTAGTATAGACGGCAAAATAGAGATACTTTGCTTCCCCCACACACTCCCTCACATGCTTTAATTTTCCCCTCTCCCCGGTCTCCCGACGACTCAAAGAGGCCTCTGCGGAGAAGGTTAGTTAGCCTTCCATGCAGACGTCTTTAGGGCTTCGTCACGCGTCATGCGTTCTCACCCCTTGTTTTGGACGATCAACCCTTCAGAAACTGCTATTTTATGTTTCGTGAATTGGTAGCTCCACTAAAAGAATAAGTTGCCAAGTCGCGTCATAACTGGAGCTCGGCCTGGCTTTATACAGTGGAAGATTCGTTTAGAAGTAAAAACTTTGAAAGTAAATGGTATGATAAGGAACCGGTGGGCGTTGGTGTATTCCTCTACACCTAAATGAAATTCCTTTCCCTTTTTTTCGAATTGTAACCTATTCAATGAAAATCTATCCTCAAGGTAGGTTAATTTGGTACCCAATATACTACTAACGTTTCGTGTTTATCGGAAAATGACCGCAAAAAAACGATCAAAGAACGATCAAATGAGTACCTGAGTTCACCTTGTGCTGGATCTTCTTTTTCCTTCTTGATTCTTCTTAATCATGGTTAAGTACAGTTCTTGTACTTACATGTGTATCTTTGAGTTAAAAGTATGTTTCGTCTAGTAAGTTTGTTAGCTTTTCCCGGCCAAATTACAGTTTTTTTTAATAAGTGAAAAGGTGTTAACGAAAGAGTAAGAGAATTTTTGAAAATGTACAATGAGTGGTGATCGGCTTGGTTTTCAGAATTAGTTTTTATAACTGATTTTAGGACGTTTTCCGAAAATTCGAGTTTTTGATTCGTTTTGCTTCAGACACTATACATGTAACTTTTGAAAGTTTCCAGGGCAATTTCACAACTAAATTCAGGAGGACTTCATTTATTTAATTAGTTTCAGAATTATGCGCCAAGGACTTCGTCTAACTTTCCTTGGCATGCGTTTTATATCAATAGACAAACCTCTATTAAGCGGTCACCCTCTGGAATTAACCAGGTGTCCGCTTAATGGAGGTGACCGTTGAATAGAGGTCATATTTACAGTAAATATGGGAAGCAAATTTCGGGAAATTGATAGGCGACCGCGTAATAGAGGGCCGCTCAAGAGGTTTGACTGTAAACTGATGACCTGACACCCATTTAAATTCTTCTTAACTGAGCAGGTCATTCTTTTAAGGAATAGAGGGTCCACACAGTCTTGAAAAGTCGTTGAGTTTTAGGGGTATAGAACGATTCCTCGAAAAACTGGGGTCTCGCAGTCGCGCGCAGTGTCGGATTTTCCATTCTATACCCCTAATTTTAGAGGAAGTCTTTGAAGTCCATTTTTCCTTCAAAAGTCCTTAAATTTCTGCACAATCCTTGAAAGGCTTGGCGAACCAAAAAGCAGAAACTCCCCCTCCTTCTTCATGGCCAGCGGTAGCCTACGGTAGGGGTAGGTACTTCACATATGATTAATAAAGTGGTAAGTAGAATCAACTAATTTTATAGTTAAACGCCACGATATTTTTTACAACATAAAGTTTTTCAAAGTTTGTGATTCGAGCAAGAACATAGCTGACGAGCGTTAGACTGATTAGATGTTCGATACGCTGCTACTGAGAGAACCGTGGACCAACAATTTCGCATTAATGTATTTTTAGCTTGTCCAAGTAGCCGGCGAACAAAAATACCGTTTAATTTTTGTTAGGTTTATTTTTGTGCTTTGATTAATTGTTTTCTGGTTATTCCCCATATAGAGTTTTATCATAAAGTGCAGTTGCACCGCTTGACGCCGCGCTCCCAAGGAAAAGAGCCAACATTGAAACATGAGAGTATGAAAATGTAAGAAATTATTATTGATATACTACTTTTGTCGTACCCTGTCCTGTCGTGAAAAAACTGGTCAGAAATTTAACCCAATCTTATTTTCTTAACACAAGCTTTTTTTCTTTTGTTTCCATCAGTTGCATGTTGAGATCACATCCAGCCGTGGACGATCAGTACCCGGGGGAGTTTGATAAAGAAAAAGTGAAAAGACAGTTTTATTTTGTTTTGTTTTGTTTTACAAGTTTTTCTGGACACAGGCCTGCCCAGAGGGAATAGGCACGAACGGAACTCACAGGTCCCATGCAAGGTGCCATCCCTACCCAATCCCACCACCCGTTAAAGAAATTAAGGTAAGTATTTTAAACTAGTGAGTTTCGTTAAATCAAATCTTGATTCCTAAATCAAATAATGAAACTGAAAAGAAAAACCGGTAATGTTGATGGATATTGGTGAAGTTGAGGATGTAAGGATATACAACAGGACAAGCATATGTATGAACGTACAAGGGAAAAAATTGAATTAATGGAGCACGACAAGTTGAGGTTCAGCAATGACTGGTTTCCTCCGCTTATCTCCGTAGATTTTTTAGCAAGTGTAAATCATTCGCAATAGTTAATTGAGTTAATTGGTCTTAAAAACACAAAATTATTAAGTAATGGTAATATCATAGAACCTCCCGGAAACTTAGAAGAAATGTTTCCCATCCGCGGATATTGCAAAGTTACTCAGTTGTTTTCTAGCATGGGCATTCTTGCAATATAAAAGTTTGAAAAAAATTCAACTTGGTTTTTTTTTATTATAGTGTCAAAATACTCCATTCCTTTTGGAGTTTGTTTTTTAGTTAACTCGCGCTTCAGACATAATTGCACCAGAATTCCATCCTTTAACTCGCGCACATAATTTCATTAGTATTCAGAATCAAAATACATTAATTTCTACTTTTTTTCTCTCTTCGTTTAAAGATTAGAAACGAGATAAGAATTCAGCCGCGTAAATACAACACCGAGAGAATACTGGCAACTTGACTTGCCTCAGTTTTCATGAAACGCAAGCGATCCGCAATCTTTCAGTGGAGGAGTAGCACCTGACAACGATGTCGTTAAAAATTTTCAAAAATAATATTGGCCGAATTTGCGCATGGTTGGACAAATTTGAATCATTATTATATTTTCTCGCAAACATTCGTGAGAATCTATTGTACGGAAAAAGTACCTACACAGAAACGGAGCATAGCATAAAAGGTTGGGCCGCGTTAGTGAAAGTATGGGGAGTTAAACTAACAACCGAGTTAAGAACCAAGTTGGGAAGCGAGTTGGCAAGCGAGTTAAGCAAACTTTGGACGATTTGGTTATTGATTTGAGACAAGTTTTTGGCTGTTTTTTTTTTTCTTTCCTGTTGCTTTTTAAAGGAAATCGTCTTTGTAGTCTAGCGTCAGTTCCGATCAGGATTTCGCCTGGTTAGAAATAGAATGCCCTATTTGAAGTTGAAATAAGAATTTTGAAGTCAAGTCAGGTTATAGCCGCGATAACAACACATTGCTCAACAACTTTCTTGAAATAACTTTGTCTATAGAACAATGAATCAATGAGGCAGTTCACAACCAAACTTAAACCATGTTTTTCTAAGACTAAAGTTCAAATGTGAACGACAGCGGCACGAGAAAGAGCGGAAAAGATACTGGGACCCTCGAAAAGAAAAGGACCGCTACGCAACCATCGGCGTTCTGCATATAGCTGCTGGCGTTTTCATCATATTCCCTCTCCTCTCATGTGCTCCTTCTCGCACCCCAATAGGTTTCTGAATTCAAAGGAAACAAGCAAGTCATTAAGCGATTTAAGGCTATAATGACCTATAATGTACTTGAAATCTGTATGGCCAGAAATTTCGGACATCGAATTTAACTTACATTTAGGCGCCAAGTAACTAAAGTAGGCCAAGACACTCAAGAAACCAAAGACACTCTACCATAAAGGAAATATATCTCGGTACACTATAATAATCATATATGAAGTACCGACCCCCACCGTAGGTTACCGCTGGCCATGAAGAAGAAAGGGGAGTTTCTGCTTTTTAGTTTGTCAAGCGTTTCAAGGCTTGCGCGGAAAATTTAAGGACTTTCGAAGGAAAAATGGAATTCAAAGACGTCTCCTAAAATTAGGGGTATAGAATGGAAAATTCCACGCTGCGCTCGACTGCGAGACCCCAGTTTTTCGAGGAATCGTTCTATACCCCTAAAACTCAAGCACTTTTCAAGACTGTGTGGACCCTCTATTCCTTTAAACAATGACCTGCTCAGTTAAGAAGAATTTAAATGGGTGTCAGGTCATCAGTTTACAGTCAAACCTCTTGAGCGGCCCTCTATTAAGCGGTCGCCTATCAATTTCCCGAAATTTTCTTCCCATATTTACTGGAAATATGACCTCTATTCAACGGTCACCTCTATTAAGCGGACACCTGGCTAATTCCTGAGGGTTACCGCTTATTAGAGGTTTGTCTATTGATATAATATGCATGCCAAGGAAAGTTAGACGAAGTCCTTGGCGCATAATTCTGAAACTAATTAAATAAATGAAGTCCTCTTGAATTTAGCTGTGAAATTGCTTTGGAATCTTTCAAAAGGTATTGCGTCTGAAGCAAAACGAGGCAAAAACTCTTATTTTCGGGACACGTTCTAAAATTAATTCTGAAAGCCAAGCCGATCACCACTTAATGTACTCTTTCAAAAATACTCTTAAGTTTTGTAATTACTCTTTCATTAAGACCTTATCACTTATTAAAAAAAATTCAAAGTCATTCAACGGCGTTCGACGTTCTGTAATTCTGCCGGGAAAAGTTAACAAACTAACTAGACGAACCATACTTTTGACTCAAAGATGCACATGTAAGTACAAGCACTATACACATGATTAAGCACATTCATGAAGAAAAAGAACATTAAGTGAAATCAGGTACTCATTTGATCGTTCTTTGATCGTTTTTCTCCGGTCATTTTCCGATAAACACGAAACGTTAGTAGTATATTGGGCACCAAATTAACCTACCTTGAGGATAGATTTTCATTGAATAGGTTACAATTCGAAAAAAAGGGAAAGGAACTTCATTAAGGTGTAGAGGAATACACCAACCCCCACCGGTTCCTTATCATGCCATTTACTTACGAAGTTTTTACTTCTAAACGAATCTTCCACTGTATAAAGCCAGGCCGAGCTTCAGTTATGTGGCGACTTGGCAACTTATTCTTTTAGTGGAGCTACCAATTCACGAAACTTAAAATAGCAATTTCTGAAGGATTGATCGTCCAAAAACGAGGGGTGAGAACGCGTGACGGGTGACGAAGCCCTAAAAACGTCTGCGTGGAAGGCTGACTAACCTCAGGAACCATCTTCTCTTCCCCGCAGAGGCCTCTTTGTGTCGTCGGGAGACTGGGGAGAGGGGAAAATAAAGGCATGTGGGGGAGTGTGTGGGGGAAGCAAAGTATCTCTATTTTGCCGCTAATAGCAAACACAAAATTGAGAACAACATTATTATTGGAACGGAAACAAGGTAAAAATGACTTTAATCGACTATTCTTTTGGATCTTGCTGACATGCAAGGTATGCTTAAACCTTTATTTTCCAAATTTAAAAAAAAATGAGCAAGTAACGATTCACCATTTGATGTCTTTATTTGCTGTAATCATTTTAATGACAAGCACATAATTATAATAACTTGGACTAAAACAGTACATTCCTAGTTCCAATATTATATTCTTGACTAAAGCAGATTCTTTCGTATACAACCAACAGTTCAAAAAATTCTAAATTCATCACTTTCGGCAAGTTTCATAGTTGGCCAAGAACCACTCGCAGCTTTCCTTGATAGCTAAAAAAGGACGAGAAAACAGAAACATTATCACTTCTGCGGGAAAAAAGTGCAAACAGTTGGATATCCTAACTGACTATCGCCCCTTCTCGCTCTGCGGGACGAATAGTGGAAGACCCTGGGGATGAAGTTGTGACACAAGGAACTTTTCACCCAATAAAACATTTATGCTACAAGGACCATACATTGTAACAGCCCAAGGCATAAAGGATCTTACACCCCAAGGAATATTTACCCTAAAGAATGTCATATCCCAAGAATTCTTGTCACGAAGGGAATGTCATGGGACAAGCAATTTCACTCCAAGGTACCAACCCTAAGGAATGTCATACCACTAGACTACGAGTAGTCCCCCATTTTTCCTCAGGGTTAGTAGAGCCAGCGATACGCGCGTGCGCGTGAAAATCACCCCACGCGAGAAATTTTTCTCTCTCCCCGCCGCGTCTTGCCTTTCTCACGTGGGGTGATTTTCACGAGCGCTTGCGTTTCGCTCGCTCTACTATCCCTGAGGAAAAATGGGGACTACTCGTAGTCTATTATACCGCAAGAGCTCCAAGGGATTTATCACAGTTTTGATGACATAAGGAATCTTTTACTCCAGAGAGTAGCATGACGCAAGTGAATCTTACATCCCGAAAAAGCGTAGGACACAAGGAATTTTATACCCCAAGGAATTTCACACCCTAAGGGATGTTATACCAGAGGAGGCACACACCCCTAAGGAACTTATTATTGGGCTGCCTGTGACAAAGCTCAATCTAGTTGATGCAACGAATCTCATGATCTTATGCCAACCTTTCTCTGTTTTTAAAAATTCTGGCTGACCCTGCTTTGAGGAAAATAATTACAATTGAGAGAGTGTTCTTGTATTCATAGATCAAGGACCAAGAAACCCAGAAAGAACTGCTGACTTACCAATCTTAGGATCCGTGAACTTGAAGTCTGGTCGGTATTTTCTTAATTTTGCATTACTTGCTGTCTTTTTAAACTGGCCATCCGACTTGGTTGTGTCATACTAACATCTGTGTTAAGGACTACTTCACTTTTCATGTCCACATTTCTTACTATACTCAACAAAGTTTTATCTAATGATCCCTTTCGATTACAGCTGAGGGCCATGACCATGGTGGGCTGAGTAGGTGGAGCCCTTAGATTCTGAATCGGGTGATCTATACATTTCTGAGAAACTGCCCACCTACCCCTCCCCTAAGCCAACATTAACACTTACTTCTCACTTAGGGCAAAATATTGGCTCAGGGGTGGGGTAGGTGGGCAGTTTCCCACAAGCGTATAATGATCCAGCCAAGTTTGGGAAGAGGTGTCCTGTCGAGGCCTTCAACCATGACTCAGTTTAAGACAAAACAATGTTTATTTGCCACCCTGTTTAAGACCTGCTGAGACCTTTTTCATGTCCAAGTTCGTTTCGTTTTGTTTTCAGAACAAAACAGAGATTAAGATTGTTTTATTAATAAATTGTTGGTAACATGCATATAGACTCTGTGGACGGCTTTTTTTGGTACGAGCAAAGGCATCTGGTCCAGAAGAAAAGCCTGTCTTGTTATCTGGTGCCTAACTGTTAATAGGCTATGGGCCATCAGTAGACCTACAGACTTTTAGGGGAACTCTTCTTCACTTTTACCCAGTCTTAGGGCTAACAGAACATTTATTTTATAATTAAGGATACTTCTAGTCCTCCTGTGAAACCCATTCCTTCCACAACCAACTCGGCAGCCTCCTTGATAGACAGCTCATCCTCTTCATTAACTACAAACAGCGAAACATTACCACAGATTACTTATTTGACACAATTAAATCATACAATTAAAACTACAGGGCATACGAAATGGCCTTTTCTTGTAAATTTTTACAAGCAGAAATAAGAATCTGGGAGTTTGCGCGGAGGGACAAAATACGAGCGCCCCTATAAACACCTGCGTGGGAGGCTGTAAATGTACAGGACAAATCAGATGTTTTTTTCATATTATGAAACTCATATGGAACTCAAACCAAATAAATAAAAGTTCATATCAGGTTACATGTACTTAATTTACCAATCAAAGCACGACATGTAAAAACAAGGTTCTAAACTTTACAGTCAAAAAGATCTGAGGTCTCAATGAGAATAACAAACTTTTGAAGAAATGTGCATATATATTGTATATAATATCTCAGGGAAATTTAAGATGACATTTGATTTGACTGGAAATAAATACCAGTGAGGAGCACTGCAAACAGAAAGAGAAAAGCAAATGAGGAGCAGTTTAACCATACTGAGTTTAATGAATCTACCAACCTGACAGGATTATGGGGTCAATTTCATTGTACTCTCTGAGAACCCAGATCATTAATCTTGCAAGATCCTAAATTTAAAAAAATTCAGAACCATCAGTTTTCATAATCTTGTTATATCCTTGAATTTGTAGAGCACTTTACTGTTGTCAATCAGCAATGTTATGCTGACAGACATTCTGCAACTTAAATCCTGAAAATACTTGGATTATAAAACAACTAAGCCGTCTGGACCTAGATACTGCTCTAAGAGGACCATATTACAGAAATGGTGACATAAATAAGAATGGACTTTGTATTTGTCGGCAGAAGGCACCAGTAGATACATAACACAGATTTAGCAAAGGCAGCGTGAAAGGGTAAGTGTAGATCCGAAAAACCGAATGACCAATGTCAGAGTGGTTAAGCACCAGAGCATTAGGTGTTTTCTGTGTGTCTTTACACTCTTGAGATGTTGCATTGTCTTTACTAGATCTGTTTATTATGATCATATAATTAGGTAATACATATATATGCAGTAGGTTATTAACCATTAGTTTCAGTTAAATTCTCAAGATTTGCATTAACATCTAAAGTCATACCTTTGAATAAATGAACTGCCTGCGGGGTGAGCCTGTTCCCCAAACTACAAGAGGCTTGCCTTCCTCTAAACCAAAGAGCAGAACAAAAAAAGCAATGTTATCTGCACTGCTTGACAAAGGTAACAACCATGCACTGAATCTACATACTGCTATTAGGCCTCATTAGTCAGGCAGCTTGAGGGAGGGCTGATGTGGACCTGCTACAGCAATTAATGCATTACATGTTAAGACACTTGATGTTTGAATGTTGACCCCCACTAAACTACCAGGGCCTAGTTGTCACCTACTCTTAATGAACAGCAGGGTAGGTTCTTTTACGTCCCACAAGGATCGGAACAGTGAAAGAGCTCTGAGACCAGCCGTTCCTATGTACAGTTTATCATTCTTATGAGAGAAGACTAGAATGTCTAACCATTTTGTAGATGTCAAACAAAGGCAGTAAATTCTCCTCACTTATTTTACGACCCTGAGAGTTGGTCCAACCAGGTTTGAACCCATAATCTCCCTTTCGGCAGACAAGTCCTTGGTCAATTGACCAGACCATGCACCAGTTAAGTTCATCTTACTGTAATTCAAAAGCATTTGCTGCAATTTTCAAATGAACATGTGTTTGTCTCGATAATCAAAAACTAAGCAAATGGGTACTTCAAACTCACTTTGTGCTAGGTATACTTTATGCATCAATCCAGGAAGAACATGGGAGTCCTCCAAATTAAAGTTGTCATGCTTTCCATAAACATTAGTGGGAACAACACTAGTAAACAAACATCCATCTGGATGCTGTTGGTAATAAGCCCTGCAAAATATTGATCACTAGTTAATTCTTGTTGGCATTAATTGTTAAAATATATGTATGGACCCTGTAGGCATCAATACCACCTTATGATCCACTAATGAGCCACAGAGAATCCACACAGTGCTTGATTTTTGTACCATGAAAGACCCATGGGTTTTCCATCCCCTCCCCGCCCCTTAAAAGGGTTCCTGTTCCTTCCATCTTCAACAGACAGGGTACCAGAAAAGTGCTGTTTAATAGAGTGGGGCCAGTGGAATGACCTGTCTGGCTAGCAAATTTTAATAAAAATTGCTTTTTGGCCAAGCAAGTAACTTTTGTATTTTTTTTTTTGTATTTAATTCATTTTCTCCATTTATCTTATATTACAGGCCATTTATATTATTATATTACAGATTTGACGATATATTTCTTCAGATTTTTAAAAATACCAGATTACAAGAAGTGGACAGGAAGGTAAGTACGCCTGCCTAGCATGACTTCTCCAAACTTTTCATGTATCAATGCACCATTCTTTTTTGTGACAACCAATGATTTTGTGTCTGGCAAAAAGGTGACTTTGAAAAAAGCTGCACTTGAGCACTCATCTTTACTATTTTTTTGTTCAGGACATGAGAAAGAAGCCAAGGGGAGGTCATCAATTCAGTCAAAGGTTACCATTAGAAGTTCTAAAGAGTGTTGCAGATCAATCCAAACTTAAAGGCTGCACTGCAGTTTCTTCCCACCCCATCACTCACCTGTTCTGCACATCAATCATACGTTTGGCATATGAATAACCAAAGTTAGAGGTGTGTGGTGGACCATTATGCACCATCGTTTCATCGATGGGATACGTGGTCTTGTCTGGGAATATGCATGTTGAAAGGCAAGAAACACACTTCTTTACCTGAGCCATGAAAACCAAACCAAAACAAAATCACTTATCAATAGTTATAAAACTGTAAAGGGTTCTGGAGGAATGTGGTATAAAACATTTTTTTTTTGCGATACGTTAAAAAATGATGTTGATTGTGCAGCTTATTGCCAGAAAAATGAACAGTTAACTGAGAAGACCTAAGGACGAGGTTGAGTTGTTTTGGTAGTGAGTACAAAATGGCGGAACATTTCACTCGTTTCAAGAGGAAGAAATAAGTGAACTATTGGCTAAAAACATAGCAAGAACGGCAAGAAGACTTGTAACTCAACAGACGACATGCAGATAAACATGCACTATCAAAGATGAACTTAACATCGATGAAGGAAAGCTTATTTTAGCTGGTTTTCAATTTAACTAAGACTTATTTTAAATAAATGTTAAATCAATTGTTGAATTCACCTTTCATATCATCTGAAGAATATTATGGAGATCTATGAGGGTGTTATCCGCCATGGCCTAACCCTCGTTGATCTCCATAACTCTTCAGATGATACTCAGCCTCATCCAACAATACTGTTAATGATATTATGATGGAAATACCTTGCAGTAATAGGCCACTTGGACACTCACCTTAGTCAAGTGACAAGTATGCAAAACATTGTCATTGATCAGGGTATTTAACCTCTGCAAATAAGTCAATAACATAATTTATCAACTACATGTACTTATTACAAAATTTCTATTAAATGAATAGCTCAGCACAAAAGCCAGTACAAGGAATCCTCGAGGGTGACTCAATGAAAAATGAATTTAGTCCTTTCATTTTGACTGATGCAATTAAAACAAGATGTCCACATTCTTCTCAATCCAGTCATGCTTCTTTTTGTAAAAAAACTTTTTATTATAACCTTAAAAAATGTCCAAAAAAGGACTTTTTGAAAAGTACAGCTGTATACCAAGTATGATAACCCTCTGTGCTGCAGGATTAAGGGAAAACTTTTTTCAGTGTTCTCATGCAATAATCATAACACAAAGCTTGACATAGGAATTAGGCATTGAAAAGTGATGTTCTTAATCCCTGGACAGGGAAATGTAAGTGAAATAATTCTTGACTAATTACCAAGACAGAATGAAGCACTTCAGTAGCATTGAATGAAGTACATAACATTATAGTTAGATTTACATTGGGACATCAAACTTGAGCCATATTTGTGCTCATACATCAGCAAAGATTACGTCACTGCTTAACTGCCCATTATTATATGGCTGGTCCCATGAGCTTGCGAGATCAAGTGACTCCTGTGTTCTTGCCCACTCAGGGTTTCCCGCATTGGTCCCGAAAGAAGAGATTTTGGTTTGGTCATATATAAAATCCTTTATTGACCAAGCTTGTTCAATGAAGATGGTTGGATATTGGACTCATTCTTTGCTGCATTTCTATTGACCTTAACTGAGTTTTTCTTTGTCCATAAAAAGAAAAAGAAATAACCTGGCCAATGTCCAGCCATCTTGACTGCACAGGCTTGGTGAATAATGCATATCTACTGTACAATATGTACAGTGTGTAGCTCCTTGTTATATAGCTGGAAATTTCTTCCCAACAGTGCACACTCTCATTGGTTACTTCGAGGTCACATGACATCTAACAATGAAACTGTTTCCCACCAAAATCTCTGAGCAGGCAACATTACAAAATCTATGACATCAGACTGGGTAACAGTGCCCTGTTACCCGTGAATGTTCACTGACGACCACCATTACAGCAAATGTTTCCCGAGGTGAATTGAGATTCTTAAGAAACAAAATTAAATATTTCCCTTGGGACCAGCCATTAAGTGTTTATTAGAGTCAAGTAGTTCTATTCTTACCCAGAAATCAAGATTGTACTTGAGGTTCTTGAACAGTCCGCCCACAAGAGCAGCTAAATGGATCACATGTGTTGGCTTGTGCTTTTCAAAAATTGCTTTAGTTGCCGCTGAATCACTACAATAGTGGCATAATATTTCAAAACTCTGTTAGTACTTTACGTAGATTGTTACACAAATTTCAAGAAAGGCTTAAAAATAAGACATCACACAAGACTTGTGAAGTATCAACATATGCCAGACAGTCTGAGATTATTATTACTTCTCTTCCTGAATAATATATATCATGATAAATTACTCAATTTCTCTTAAGCATTTATAATCTGGTTGGCAATGGAACATTGCTCTCTAATGGGCGCAAAAGGAACCAATTTCTACCCAGGAAAAAAAATAATGTAAAAAGATTTTCAATACATCATTACAATTTAACAAAACTTAAAAAAACCGTGAGCCACTTAGTATTTTCTAACTGCCACACAGCATTTTAAAATTAAATTTAAGCAAAATAGCATAAACTGCAAACCCTTATTTCTCCCCTTTCCACATGCTTATAGAACATGAGAAAAATATACTAATCACAGTTAACCAATACAGTTGAACCTCTCCACAATGGCCACCCTGGTCGTGGTCATTGTGGAGAGGTGGCCATTAGGGAGCTTAAGCAACAACGTTTTTGAGCAACACACGTCAACTGGAAGTCACCCCTTTTCATTTTTTAATGATGGTTTTGCCCAAATTTTCAGTCATATTGTCCCTATAAGAGTAAGGAAGCTAAAGAATACAAATTTTTTATTATCAAGGCATATTAAGAAGGAAAAGGTCTTACTGCTGGTTGACGTCCGTTGCTTAAACATGCCTGTTCTAAAGCTCCCTCTTATGAGGGGAGAGAGAGGGGGGTCGGGGGGTAGGGGTGTTATATGACAAATGTTTTAGGGAGTGCAACATGTTTGTTGTGCTAAGTTCATGCTTACTGTGTCCCATAATGGTAATCCAATCATAAATAATATATATAGTGTGAGATAAAATACGCAAAAGGCTTCAATTATGTTTTGAATCAAAATGTTGACATGACAAAATGAGCAAGTTTTGCAACATTCACTATCAGTATCGTAGACAATTTATGCTTATTGCAGCAGTATAAATGAAACAAAATCAAAATGTTCGATTGCCACGGTTAATCCTCAACGTGCCATGCAGATCAAATTTCATGACCATTCTTGACTTTTTAATCAGTGGCTAAAAAAAACAGGCTGTTGTCGAGAGGTTATTTTGGCAGTTGGGGACACGCTTTAGTGGCTGTTCCCGTTGTAGAGAGGTTTAAATAAGAGTCAATGTATGGACTATCCCTAAGCCAGCACAAAACAAAGTGGCCATTGTAGAGAGGTGGCCATTGTGCTGTAGGGGGCCATTAGTGGAGGTTTGACTGTATATGAAATAGAATCAGTAAATATGAACAGTTATTTACCAAAGATCGCCATCCTTAGAGGATAAAAAAATCCATGTTTCATCAGGTCTCTTTTCCTCTGTAGCTACAATCTCTTCTAGAGCTTTTCCAACAAGTCCTGTGCCACCAGTTACTAGAATTCTTTTGTGATCAGCCATTTTAAAATGAAGTTAAATACACACTGTAGGAAATAAATTATAAATACATAAAATCAAAAGATAAATATTTATTACATCTTGTTGATAATTTATAATCATTATCACTTTCTTAAGATTGACAATTATTTTCCAAACAATATTTTGTCCTGCAGCTGTACAGGTGCATAGTTAGTATGAAGAATGGGAAATAATAGTATTTTAAAATGAAGTTAAATACACACTGTAGGAAATAAATTACACATAAAATCAAAAAATAAATATTTATTACATCTTGTTGATAATTTATAATCATTATCACTTTCTTTAGATTGACAGTTTTCCAAACAATAATTTGTCCTGCAGCTGTACAGGTGCATAGTTAGTATGAAGATTAGGAAATTATTGCTGTCAAGTTCAGGTGTGAGTGAATTTCCATGTCAAATAAGGTACTTTAATGTATTATGCCCAGTAGTTTGGAGAATGAAAAAAACACATTTGAATGGTCGGCCCCTTAAAAAAGAATTGAACCAAAACTTGCAGAACACTAACTAAAAAAGCCAAAGGTTTAAAATAAAATAATGTTGTAGTTAATTTTTTATTTCAGATAATTTTTGTTTTTCTTTTGTTTTTGAGTATGGTAATGTATGCTAATGAAGTTGAAACAAAAGAAAAAAAAATTACCTGAGATAAAAAATTAACTACAAGATAAACCGATCCAGTACATTTCTAAAAGATGGTTCAGGAAAAAATATGCTATGGATGGATAACCTTTTTTATCAACCGCATATCAGCCTTCCATTTTTGCATGATACCTGCAGTAACAATGTGGCAAAAGCACAAATGCTTATACCGTAGTGAGACAGACCACAGATGTTACTGGTTATGGGTTCAAATAACAGCATTGTTGCATCTTTATAATTTCCTAAACAACACCTTTTTTAGTTTTTGTAAAGCACTTAACAAAAGGTGTGAACAGAAGTCTTTATTAGTTAAAAAATATTTTTAAATATCTTCCAGAAAATTGACATGTACTGAAGCTGAGGAAACAACTGTGTCAAAATTCAGTCCAGATTTATTTGGAACCCTGTGCAAACTGGCTGATGGCATCAATTCAAAATTCAAGCTGGATGTACTGCTCTTATGTAAAGTCACCATGGTCACAACTAATTATAACCTGCTTAATAAAAACTGTCAATCTCCCAGTGTATGGCTCAAACCGACCCTCAAACTACAATCAGTTTTTAATCAAAATAAAAAAATCAAAATTCTAAAGACTGGGGTAGCAATAACAATATAGCGACAGGTATAGAACAAACAAAGTACACAGGGTTTTATAACAAACCAAAACAAAAAATACATTTCACTTAACAGAACCATATACATTACATTTAATTAGTCATCAAAGTTTGCATACGGCTGGTATAAAAAAGCATTTTAATATTCTGATCTAACTTGAGCCCTATACTGCTTAAGGGAAAGATTTAATGTCAGCTTGAAAATTTCAAAATTTAAAGCTTTTGAGACATACGGTTGAAAATTTACTGGTTACCTAATTTTAATACGATCTTTCAGTTCCTGCTAACATCATTTTCCCAAAGTGGACTGTTTTCGTGTTTATGGAAAGTTGATTATGTGACCAACTATTGCAAGAAGCCTATTACAGTGTATACAGTATTCCACTTTTAATACATTCATCATTGCTTTAATTGTTGAAGTTAATATCTGATGGATCACACAGTCACAAATTCTTAAGCTTACTAGATTATCATTGTACACTGAAAAACTGTTGACAAACAGTTTGTAAAAATGTGTATTACAAGCCCAGGGAATTTGAAATATAATATAACCCTAATAAATAATTTACCCGGGGCTTATCTTCTGAATTTTATAGTAGATCTATAATTTATTCCCCTTAACATGTGTGGAAACGTTCACGCGACAGCCTGCAGGGCAAATGCCAGAAACATTTGCTGCGGAACTTTGAGGCGAAAATAATGAATTAAAAATTCCCACGAGATAACTGCAAATTAAATGAACATTTTTTCACTTATAATAGAGCGGGACAGGGGACTGCAGCAGAAGAGAAAGCTAAAAGGAAAATTAATGTCAAGCGTAACGTGACGGAACTTAACTTACTACAACAATCGCCAAAGAAAAGAAGTATTGCAGCATCATGGTTCCAAAATCATTATCAGTCTGTTGTTATGCAACTCCTGAGAACTGGCCAAATTTTTACCAGCTCTCCTACCAAGCAACAGGAAAACAGAGCCTGGTCTGGTCTCCGGTCAAAGAGAAGGTGGCAGTGGTTCGGTTCCGGATAGATGCTTATAAAATTTCGACAAAGTATGTTACCGGTAAGGACATTATGCAAAGTCAGATCTCTGTGCACGAGTTCTCTGGTGGGATATTATGTGATCGCAGAGAATAAGCCGAGGAATCATACAATAAAAACACTTACCGGACTTAAAAAGTTCTTCCTGCTAAATTGTGGTCTACTAACTGTGATGCAGGCCCGACTCTACTACCAAATCAGGCCCCAAATCAGAGCATAAAGACACACGAAAGACGTGGACGACTTAGTAACCACGCTTTTATTCCAAAGCTTGCGGTTCTTTTTTTCTTTCCACGATCCAGGCTCCTGTTCTTGTTCTTTCTTGATAATTTACCAACAAACCTTTTATAAAAAGCTGCTAAGGTAACTAACAGAATCAAGCTTTTTTTAAACCAATGTAACTAAAATATAATATCATTTCAATACCTCTAATCTTTGGTTAAATTTTGGTCATGTGAGTAGAACTTGCAGAAATTATCATTACAATGAAGGTGGGGCAAATAAAACCACTCAAAGTGTGTCAGAGCATAAAAAATTCAGTGGAAAAACATCTAGGAGATAACATGAATATAAGGGTGTGTTTTATGTATTTGAAAAGCACCATTGCTCGCTATTTAATAGCTCAGGTCTGCGACCTTCAGTCACAGGCAGCCTAGACGTGTGTGTCAACGACATGGACACAATCGGGTTGATCTTTATAGCTAGCATAAAAGAGTTGCCGATAATATATTCGAATGAAGAGGAATTTAAAATTATGTAATAATTGAGCGGATTTCCCCCTCCTACCCACCACCCCCCCCCCCAAAAAAAAAAAAAAAATTTCTCCCAACACCAACCAACACAACCACCCAACAAAAAAAAACCTCTCATCCAACAAAAAAACCAGAGAAGAAAAGAAAAAAACAGCACAAAAACACAACAAAATCCCAACCA